TGTACAAGCCGTATAAACAAAGGTTGAAATATGCAAATATTCAAAATGAAATAGTTCGATTTGCATAAACGTAGTCTAAAATGTGCGAACATTCAAAATAAAATGTGTCCTTAGATAAATCGATTGGCATCAAGTGTACTAATATAAATAAAAAAATGCGCTACAAATTGAAAATTAAGCGTTTTATTAAAATCAGCCAATAAATACATTATTTCGCTCTCAATCTACATAAGCATTACAAGGTCTTCTTCTATTCGATGGCTCCCTCATCATCACTCTTCTCAACTTCGAAAGCGGAAAATGAGAAATCATTCTGTTGGTACAATGGCAATGCAGAATTCACACCTGCTGCCTAGAGAGCCTCAGCTTACTGAAGTGCCTTGATCCAGCCATGCTTAAACCCACGATTTTCACATCGACAAACTTCTTCAGAAAGTTTCTCCTTGGCCTTTTGAATTCCGACCTTTCAGCCGTCATGGAAGCCTTTTTCATAGGCTGCGGCCCCCGCAGTCTCAATCGCGAACATGCTAGCCATGTTCCGATCGGCAATAGCATCACTTATTAGCCTTTGAGTCACCTTCTCTTCCACAACCGGGTTAGGATGGCTGGCTGATTGCGACTCTGTAGACTTGATTTTCCTTAGTTCACGCTCGGCCTTCTCCGTGCGAGTTTCTAACTTCTGAATGCGTTCATCTCTCTATTCTATATCGCGCCGAGCGGCGCGAAGACGCATGTCGATTTCATAAGCGGTGTACAGCCCCTTCACTACACCGTGAACGCCTTCACGAAAGACTTCGAAATCTTGCTGACCTACCATCGACTGCTGGACTTCGAGTGGAAAAATCTGTCGAACGAACTCGACTACCACATTTGGATCTTGAACGATTGAATTCGCCTCTGTCATTGGTCTATTCCCCACGAAGATCGCAAAACTCAATGGGCGCGGAGTCGCGTCGGATTCCTTCCAAAATGGGGTTGAGGAGATTTTCCCTGTGGCTGCTTGTCCCTCTTGGGCGACCTACTCTGACGACGAGGAGATTGGTGTTTCTCCCGATCCCTCGAAGTCCTACTTCTCGTGCGTGAAGGTTCACCACTTCGACTCATATTTGCTCCCAGCTCAGCTAGCGTCCTCGCTTCCCCTCTGCTGTTGAAGAAAAGTCTATTTGACATTCGCACTTGTTTAACCTTCCTCAAATAGATGGACTGAGTTGTTGACTGAGCATATAAATAGAGTATTCGTTCACAAAGTACACGCCCATTTATTCTCTACGAGGGTAGCACCTCCGAGGCAATCTCATTAATATTGAAACCTTAACAGCCCGGCGCTGATTGAGTCATATGCCCTAATCGCCCCCATCAACCTCTCCACGAATCAATTTATCAGTACAATACTCATGAACCTCCATTATTCGGCGTTTTATGTTCATGAACCAACTGGGACAAGGGTAGATTCATTAATCTAGTCGGCTTGAGTGCCCCAGCCGCTCCACGAATCGATTTATCAGTACAATACTCATGAACCTCCATTATTCGGCGTTCTATGTTCATGAACCAGCTGGGGTAAGGGCAGATTCATCAATCTAGTCAGCTTGAGTGCCCCAGCCGCTCCATGAATCGATTTATTAGTACAATATTCATAAGTTCATTTTATTTGGCGTTCTAGTTCACAAACCTCCGTTATTCGGCGTTCTTGTTCATGCACCAGCTAAGGGCAGATTCGTCAAGCTAAGAAGCATATGTACCCTAGCTGCCTTATGAGCTGACCGATCAGCACATCAAATTCATTAATCGGCTAATAAGTTTGCTGTCTTACGTAGTCGTGACATTTTGTTGTAACTGCTGATTCTTTTAATTTTGTACTCATATAACAAACAATACAAGCAACAACTTAAGAGCATAGAAAATTTTCATTCATAAATTGGGCACTAACAGCGGACATTTTACACATGAAAATCCAAAAAAGATTAAAATCAACTAACAAAGAACATACATTGAAATTAAAAATGCTTAACAAAACTAAATTGATCCCTAAATCAATCTTCGGGATCAGACTCTAGCGGCTCAACGTCCACTTGCTCGTATGGAATCGCCATGTCCAATGTCACTCCAACGGCAGCAAGGGCTTTGAGCCAGCCATGTTTGAATCCCCGATTCTCGAATTTGGGGACCTCTTCTACATAGTTTTCTAGAGCGGCGCTCTTCCCAGCCTCGAATGCTTCGGAAGCCTCGGAGTCAACTTTTTCTTTCGTCGCCTTCGACTCTACCAATTCGGCCTCCAACTTGGTAAGCGCCTCCTTGGCTAACTTGAGCGATTCCTCACTCGCGTTTGCCCTCTCCTCGGCATCCAATCTGAGCTGGTCAGCAATCCGCGCCCTTTCTTTCTTAGCTTCGGCCCGCACGCTTTCCATTGTGGTTTTCATCGCCTCAAACTCGGCCCTGCTCCTCTGACCCTCGACTTCCGACTGCAAACGGCCAATCCTTTCAATGGCATCATGCTGGCAGCGGCCTAATTCGGCGATCCTTCCGACCGTTTGCAAAACAAGTTGGGATCGTCACATACCAAGAAATACCGTATACAAACAAAACCAAAACAAGGAGTTAGGATGAAGTCACATACCAGGAGGACCGACTGGGCAGCTAACGCTATTGCTACCAAATTCGGCTCTGCCCGAAAGGTTACCTTGTCAGCCGGCAATGAGACCGAGGTAGCCAAGCTCAACACCACAGCGGGATCCTTCAAGGCCGACGCTTCGAAGGAGATCGGCGTGTTTTTTTATCTTTGGTTGAACAATAAAAGGAACAACCACATCTGACTCCTCTAAGCGTGGCCATTTATCAATAGAGTTCTCCTTAGAGCCGGCCTCGCCCTCGGCAGTACATTTCTTTCCCCGATCTTCTGAAATCGGCCGTTCCTTAGGATTCGGCCGATCGGCTGCCTTTTCCATCTCAGCCACATCAACGTGAGTCGTTTCTTCTACAATAATGGGTTCGGAAGATTCAGTCGGGGCAGGTATAGAACGAGTGGCCTCGACTTTTTGTCGGGCAGCCATGCGTTCGGCATTTCTCTTTCGCGCCATTTGCGTGAGACTTTCCCCAGCCATACCCTCAGAATAAATGCCGGGAAGGTCTCCCAAATTTATAAAAATATCTTCGAAGGTGTCCCCTCAGCCTGATGTGGACGGAGGGTCAGACGAGTTCAGTTCGGCTTCCTCAAAGGCTGAGTTAATAACTTCGTCAACCTCCGCTGCCAACTGATCCGGGTCCTTGGCGATTGGTTCCATTGCTTGTTCTTCTAAGTGTTCAGAATCGGATGTTTCTAAACCGATCTGCCTCAAGTTTTTGAAGTTAGAGAAGATGAGGGCTGTAAGATGGTTGTCGCCTCGCACGACCGGGATGTTGTCTGCGCCGAGAATGTAGTATAAGTCGACTCGTACCGCAGGAGAATGTGGGCTGCCCTCTCTTGTTTTTGAAGGTTTGGACGGCCGACGAACTGTAGCGCGGTCTTAATTTTTGCAATCACAACGTTGTCGTCTGAAACTAACACTTTCTTCAAGTCTCTGCCTGCACAAACAAAATGATTAGATGTGTATAGTGCCGAACACAGATATGGAAATAACAGAAACAAGTGATCTAATCGGCCACCTGGTTCACCTTTTCGCCTTTGCACAGGGTCTAGGCGATCTTCACCTTCGCCGAATTCCCGATTGCCGCGGACGATGACCATCACGTCATCAACACGCTTGCCAGAGCTGGCAAGCATAGTCACTAAGTGATGATTAGTATCCTTGGCTCTAAGAAAGTAGCGTTCTAGCCGGCCAATAGATTTGGCTAGGACATAACAGTGCCGAATGGCGGGTATACCTAAATTAATCATAAGACGCTGATTTATCTCTACAATTCCCATTATGATGCGAAAGAAATTCACGTTGGGTTGGGAAGGGATTAGACCCCAGTATCGAAGAATGACCCTCAAAAATGGGTGAAGAGGAAAGCGGACTCCGCCCTCAGCAATTGATAGGAGAGGAAAGATAATTGTGCTCTCATCTTCCCTCTCCATATCAGTGGTGATGTCTGCCAAAAATGACAGATGGACGTCATCGGGAATAGAAAAATGGCATCGAAAGCCAAAGATTCGATCTGCTGAAAGGAGCTCCTTCAAATGTTTTGCCATTTTGGCCAACCCAAGGATAATGGAAAACTAAAAGCAAACAAGGAAGCGGGATCAAAAATGAAGGAGAAGAAAACTTACAAGAGACGAAGGGAAAAACGAGAAACAAGGAGTTGCAGAAGTCGCGAAGTGAAGGAGCTGCACAAGAAGGCGAGCCAGATATCTTTGAGTATTCAGAACATACATTCGAAGAGACAATTTCAAATCGCATTAAATTGAGGCAGTGTACGAAGGGGTAGGAAATCGTTACAATGACCAAAAAGCGTGTACGCGTTCTAACATGCATCGGGAAGAGGATTAATTGCTGAATTTTTGATTTCCCAAGCTAGAAGCCAAACATGCCGACTAACTGATGCTAGTGGGGTGTTTGGGGGGCAATTGTGGAAGCCGAATTTCCTTGGATCAATAGAGAAGAATGGACCAGTCCGGTCCATAACATAACCTCTATTCGGCATTGGTCCCAGTCAATTGAAGAGCCGAATAAAATAGCCGGCATTTCAACCAGTAGAATAAAGGCCGAGTAAAAATACATGTAAAGGATCAGGGATGGGCCAGGCCCTAAGGCACAAAAAGAATACTATAAATACAGGATCTTCAGTCAAAGGAAGGTATGTGAGAACCATTACACTTAACTTAAAATACAAGTAATTCAGAGAATAGAGTCTGACTTGTCCGTCGGAGTGCTAATTCTGGTACCCCTGACTGGAGTGTTAATTTTTTTTCAGGTGGCTAGCTGAGGATCACGAGCGTCTCCCAGGATCTGAAGAGTATTTCTAAACCACTTCTCTACATATATGAACAACATATGCATTTTTTCATTTCTCAAAGAGTCATGGCAACCATTGTTACAACATTCTATTCACTCTCCTTCTCTATATTTGCAATCCTAGTGTCCATCATCTTTCTATCTATGTTTTCCCTCATTGAAGCTAACAATTTTGGATTTAGCGTAGACCTAATCCATAGAGATTCACCAGATTCCCCCTTTTACAATTCTTCATTAACTCATTTTGATCGAGTGATCAACGCTTTACGACGTTCACACAGTTGTGTTAACTATTTCACCTCAGCTTCCATGTCACCACAATCTGCCTCAAGTGAAGTAATCCCTTCTGATGGCTCCTATTTGATGAAAATAACAGTTGGCACACCACCCTTCAATATCCTAGCAATTGCTGACACGGGCAGTGACCTTACATGGACACAATGCTTGCCTTGTAGGAACTGTCACAAGCAAAAACTCCTCCCTTTAATCCTAAAAGTTCTTCAACGTACAAAGAGGTCTCTTGTCATTCAAACCTATGCCAAACGGCAAATGCAAGTTCTTGCTATAACAATGAAACTTGCCAGTACTCACTTTCATATGGTGATATGTCCTACAGTCAAGGTGTTGTTGCCACTGATACAATCACCTTGGGTTCGACTAATGGCCAACCAACATCCTTTTCAGGGATAATTTTTGGGTGTGGCTTTAGCAATGCTGGCACATTCAATGATGAGGGCTCAGGGCATAGTTGGTCTTGGTGGTGGAACAGTTTCTCTTATTTCGCAAATTTTCCTATTGTTTGATGCCAATGTCTTCTCAAAGCGCAAAGTCTAGTCAAATGCATTTTGGTGACAATGGTGTGATGTCAGGGAATGAGGTGGTATCTACACCAATTATTCTGAAATCTCCAAACACCTTTTATTTCTTAACACAAGAAGGATTTTCAGTCGGACGACAAAAGTTGGAAATTTACAACTATTCATCATCATCACCAAATGCATTTGGTGCCTCTGGGAATGGTAACATCATCATAGACTCGGGAACAACATTGACATACCTTCCACTCGATCTTTATGAGAAATTAGAGTCGGCTGTTAAGAGCTCAATTGGATTGCAAAATGTCTATGGTTAGTAATAATATCACAATTCCCATTATTACAGCACACTTCACTGGTGCAGACGTGAAGCTGAATCCTATGAACACTTTCATTAGAACAAGCGATAACATTGTGTGCCTCGCTTTCGCACCAGCAAATATTGCAATCTATGGTAATGTGGCACAAGTGAACTTCTTGGTTGGTTATGATCTCAGCAAGAAAACTGTGTTCTTCAAGCATACTGATTGTGGGAGAGTGTTATAATATGAATGTCTTCATTTCAATCATCTTCTTTTTCTTCTTCTCTTTTTAAATAAATAAATAAATAAATCGTTGTTTATTAGGTTGCGGTCTAGTTAACTGTACCCAGAATTTCTTTATTTTAGTAGTCAAGCATTGTTAATTATGAAAGCATGTTACTTATTATTTGATGCAGGATTTAAGTGAAGATCATTTCTTCATACACTACAAGAAAAAACATATTTGGCGACTAAATTTTTTGTCGCCAAAAGTGGATTTTTAGTCACCAAAAGTCAGGTTTTAAGTTTTCCCGACTAAATTTTTTAGTCGCCGGCTTGGTCGCTGGAAAATTGTCGCGAAAGGTATTAGCGACTAACAAACTTTTAGTCGCCCAAAAACCAAGTCTGTAGCGACTAAAATTTTCGTCGCCAAAACTCATTTATATTTTTTAAATTATACATTTGGCGACTAAATTTTTAGTCGCCAATAGTGAATTATTTTTTTTTTAATTTATACATTTGCTGACTATTTTTTTCGTCGCCAATACTGAAGCTTTTGGTGACCACCCGTTTTAGTCGCCAAAAGCTTATGTCAGGAAAAAAAAAAAAAAATTACCCTATGCTCTTCCCAAATTTTGAACCATCAACCTTCCACATTCTAAGGCCCCGTTTGTTTTAGGCTATAGGGAGGGTATTGGGACTAGTAATAGCAAGGTATTACTAATGCCCTTGTTTGTTTGCAGAGATAGCCTTGGAACTATTAGTCCCTTGGTATTACTAATACCCTTGGAAGGGGGATTGGTAAGGAGGAGGTGGAGATGGTATTAGAAAATAGTGAGGGAATTAGAAATTTTTTTATTTTTTATATATTGGGAATTTTTTTTTAAATATAATGTTTAATTTTTTATATTTTTATATTTTTTTTATTATTTTATATAAAAATAATTTAACAATTCCTCACTATCAATCCCCGCCACTTTTGCCGACTAAACTCAATTTTAGTCACCAATTGTCCACTTTTAGCTACTAAATTTTTTTTAGTAGCCAAAAACCTTTACTTTTGGCTACAAAAATTTTTTTTGTTGGTAAAACATCTACAATCAGCGACCAAACCATTTTTTAGTCGCCAAAACCTATGCTTTTGGCTACTAATTTCTTTTAGTCGCCAAAAACCTTTACTTTTGGCTACTAAAATTGTTTTAGTCGCTAAAACCCATATAATCAGCGACTAAACTGATTTTTAGTCGCCAATAAGTATACATTTGGCTACTAAACTGTTTTAGTCGCCAATTGTTCTACTTTCAGTGACGAAATTTACATTTTTGGCCACTAAAACTGCTTTTTGTTGTAGTGATATGAGTATTTGTCACTCTATAGAATATATTTTATCTTTTTTCTTTATAGGTGAAATATTGGCAAGTCAAATTTTCGAATCCATGATTCAAGAAATTTTTTATCAATATGAATATCACAATCATCTTACTAAAAGACACAGTTGTAGAAGAACAATGAAAAATAAAAAAATTGATGGACTAATTGCTGTTGTTTTGCTTTCAACAAATTGGACAAATTAATGCCTCTTTGTTACTAACACAGATTGCTAGCTGGAATATGAGTTTGTTCAAATTGTCTTGTTGGTTGTCTGGTCGGTCATCTGACAAGAAGATGACAGTTACGGTCGACAAGAGTGACAACTGCGACAAACAAGTATTGCACTGGTCGTCCAAGAACAAATTCAGGCTTTCGGACAAACTCAAATTGAAGGTACCAATCATTTTTCTTTTGCTACCATTTGTTTATTACACAGGTGTTGCAACATTGTAGAGATTATAATCACTTGGTTAACTCGGTTAGCCACTTATGAGCAATCCTATCCAAAGGTTAGAAATTGATTATTTTTTATCACGCCCCGAGTTTTTAAAAATCAATTAAACAGAAACTAATTAACTTAAATGTGAGATTTTTAATAGAAAATTTTTCCATAGTTCATTCTCAAAAATGCTTGGCTTGTTTTGAGAAGTAGGATAAAAATTGATTTTTTGATTTTTTTTGAAAAAATGTATAAAAAAATAGAAAGATAATATGACCAAAAAAATAAAATAAAAAAACAACTTTTAACCGAGTTACAAAACAAGCCAAAATTTGGTTTTCCTTGTAGAAATTTTTTATCACGCCCTGAGTTTTTAAAAATCAATTAAACAGAAACTAATTAACTTAAATGTGAGATTTTTAATAGAAAACTTTTCCATAGTTCATTCTCAAAAATGCTTGGCTTGTTTTGAGAAGTAGGATAAAAATTGATTTTTTGATTTTTTTTGAAAAAATGTATAAAAAAATAGAAAGATAATATGACCAAAAAAATAAAATAAAAAAACAACTTTTAACCGAGTTACAAAACAAGCCAAAATTTGGTTTTCCTTGTAGAAAGTATCCATAGGCCTTCACCTAAATAACATTAAAAAACATGTCTAATTACTCATTATTAAAGTTACTTCGACTTTAGGTGACAAAAAGAAGCGTCTTTCATAAAATTCGGTTTATATTGAAAAATTGATAATATTTGCAGTTAATATTAAAAAAAATTAAAAACTTCTCAGTTTTACTAAATAATTTCGTAAATTGAAAAATTATTAATTTTGTATAACTAAAAAAATAATATTTTATTTTATAAAATTTCATATTAAATATTGATCTTATTTGATAAATCTCATTGTATTGATTCTAAAAATATAATTTTTATTAAAGATAAGTGTGTATAATAAAAGTTGTAAAGTTTTTAAGTTTTAAAACAAGAAAATAAAAATAATGCCACATCAACATTTCCCATTTGAATAAAAGAAATTATGTAGTGCTTTTAAGGCATGGTTAGATACTTATTAAAAGATTTGTGAATGGAGCAGAGGGTAGGGTCCTCAATTTTGGAGTTTAGGTTCTCTGTAGCCCTCTTCTCCAACTCTCCTTCGTTCGACGGACAGGATTCGGCCATGTCACTCATAACAAAACTTACGACTCAAATTAACCTTAAAAAAGAAGAAGTCGAATCTCATCCAACACACAGTACATCTAACACTCTTTGTCCCACATCACGTCCCACCACTCACTCTCTCTCTCTCTCCCTCCTAATAAAAAATTAAAAAAATTATTTTAATCGTTTTAATTTTATTTCCATAATATATATAATTTTTAATATAAAAATTTAATTTTATAAAATTAATATCATTGAAAATATACCTTTAAAATGAGACTAATATTAAATATATTTAATAAAAAATCAAAATAAATAAAAGTAATTACTATGTTTGAAATTATTATGCCTTGAATATAAAATTAATTTGATGAAGTAAACACACAATGATCATATATTTTTGAAATTCACAATAATCATACAATTAATTTCATATATTTTTGAAATAAACACACAATAATGATTAATGAAAAGGTCTTACAAAATTAACAAATGCTCTGATCTTTCAATTTTTCTTTTTTTATAAAATTTATAGCTTTGATTTTGTTTTATCAAAATCTAATAAAAACCTCTCCTTTTGTTTTATTTTTTTTTCTTCTTCTTTTCTTCTGATATATTTAATTTACTCGTGAATCTGTTTAGTTTTGTTTTAGCCATTTCTCAAGTCTGGTGGCCTAAGTTTGAGTGTCCATATGACACCTTTTCTGTAACAATTCTCGTCACTGCTTACCGATAAACTACTGATTACCGTTAAACTGAACTGAATAAACTACTGGACTGACTGATTGAAATTGAAAACCGAATTGACTGAGTATATCTGTTCAATTGTATGTCTATCTGTTTGATTGTTTGATTATCTGTTTGTGTTTTTATGTTTGAACTGCTAATTGAAGGCCTTATCGGCGGCCGAATTAGAAATCGATTAGTGTTTTATGATTATCGTAATTTATGTGATTTTATAGTGTAATTACCTGAAAACTGATTAGGTATGATTAAATTAGATCGAAATGAGTTTAATTGTAATAGTTGGCTTAATTACAACCTTGCCATCCCTAGTGGATCACTTAGGCAACATTTTGAGACTTGTGTATATACATTGAATCAACATTCCTCAGCCTTATTTGAGAGCACAAAACTGACTGAGAGAGAGAGGTAGACGAACTTAGCTTCATCTTGAATTTTGCTTGGGAATTTGAAGGAATGAAGGATTGAGTGCATATTTGAGCCTTTAGACTTGTAATTAAGGAACCTAGGTATGAATTTCCTTCTCTTAATTGTGTATTTAAGTTCCTTCTAGCATGGATCATGGTAGATCAAAGAGCTAAGTCAAGAATTGGTTCAAAAGTGTTGAATTGAAGCTTAATTATTGCATGCATGGCATACTCTTGCATTTTAGAGCTTGTTCTTCATGAATTTGCCACATGCATGTCCATGTTTTGATCATAAGCCATGATTTCATCTTGTTTTTGTAAGAATTGGCTCAATTGAGCTAGCATTTAAAGCTTTGAAATGGTTTAAATTCATGCATGTTTGCATGTTTTCATATTCTTGGAAATTGGTTCGAATTGGATTTATTTGAAGCACCCTTGGGCCTTGATTTTACAAATTAAGCTTTGAATCATGTTAAAGTATGAGTTTTGATGTGTTTTCTGAAAAATTGGCCCAAGAGAATCGAAACTTATGGTTTAAAACTTGGTTTTGAGCTTGAGGTTCAAATCTGGAATTTCCAGAATTTGGAGTCACGCTCAAGCGGGGTGACTGGCGCTCGAGCGTGGAAATCGTGCTCCCAACATTCTTGTTCTGTTTTGAAGTCTGCTCGAGCGGAATAACTGACGCTCGAGCGGGTGTCGAGCGCCCAATCGAGTGTGATTTTCGCCTATCCAGCACTTTTGACTGTTTTGCATAACGCTCGAGCGGGCAAGTCTACGCTCGAGCGGAAACCTTTGTCTGCATGTCCGCTCGAGCGGTTTAACATACGCTCGAGCGTGACCCCTGTTTTCTGAAAAGTTTGGAAATGCTTTTAAAAGTGTACCTTTGCATCCTCATCTCATCCTAGGATT